GAACATACTCCGGACAGCTGCTTTACTGTACTGTATGTAGAACATGAGTTTGTCCTCCAGGCCTGATCTGTACAGTTTAATATGCTGACCGACTTCCAAGGGCAAAAAGCACAATTTCATGTTTTTTTATTTAACCTACTAAATAAATCACCTTCAGAGAGTGACAGAAAAAAATCGCCAAGCTCAAAATGCCTGGATGCCACCGACTGTCCAAAAAGATATTTATAGGCCTGGAGATCCCAGAGCCACAATAAAAGGAGAAAGAGAAAGATTAGAAGACTGACTGTGTGAAATATGGGATCTCTCTCGAAATGTCCCATTAGAGGGCTTGAATTACAGTCTTCTCTAGCGAGCCGTTCTTGCGTAGCCTCATCATTTTGCCTAATAATTTCACACAGAGAGTCTTTAAAGTCCAAACAACTCCTTTGTACAGGCCCGGGTCTCCCAGTGGAGACAGATTCGCAACCGGAGCCGAACCAGACGTCTAAGTCCTGCAAGAATGTGTGTGTCGCTTGCTGAAAGTTAAAGATAGAGGCGACACATGCTGGATCCCGACGACTCTTATTTCAGCCATGCAGAAACACCGTGTGAATCGCTTCTGTTGTGGTTCCACTTTAGCATTAAGAAAACTTTCGGACTTGTTGCGGCCACTCATGAATTAGCAAGATGGTGCTTTCTGAAGGGTATTTGCTGTTTATTTGGTTCTTTTTTACCAATAGTTTGTTTATATCTCTTGGATTAATAAGATTTTAATGCTGCTGAAACAGTGAATCAACATCCAAAATAATAATGAAAAGATTTTTATTTGAGAACCACGTTTATTAAATTATACAGAATGTTAGATTTCTCAGGAACAAATATTTAGAATTTGAACAATATATAACTTTTTTACTGTATTTTTGATCAAATAATGGCCATCTTGACAAGACTTTTAAGGGACAAATGCCCACATTTTAAGCACTAGTGTACAATGTTTTGTGTGCATGATGCAATGGTCATTCCATTAGCAAAATTCATGTAAAAATGTAAATTATAAATATAGCAATCACTTAGTGTGATGGTGTTGTATTGCTTTCGGAATTGATTTAATTTATGCAGCTGCTTTTGTTTTCCTCAAAAGTCTTTTTTTTTAAACATGTTAGAGACTGTATGAAACACAAATAGCTTTTAGGTTTTTCTTTTTTTAGACAACAAACAAATAAAAATTGTTGCACACATATACATTTATACATTTTAAGATTAAATTATATACTAATAAATATTAATATTCAGTAAAAGATCCATATATATATATATATATATATATACATACACATATATATATTTATATATATATATATATATATATATATATATATATATATATATACATATATATATACATACACATATATATATATATAAATTTATGGGGCTGGTTTTGATGTATTTTTGACTTGTTGCAGCCACAACTTTCTGAAGAGTATCGGCTGTTTATTTTGTTCTTTTCACACTAATAATTTGTTTATATCTCTTGGTTTTATATGATCAATGTTATTGAAACAGTGAATTTACTTTGATAATAATTTTGAAAAAGTCATCTTTGACAACCATATCAGAATCTAAAATTTCTTAAGAGCAAATATTTTAAATTGTAAAAATATATAACTGTTATTGCTTTTTTTCTGATCAAATAAAGGTCTTAGTGAGACTTTCAAGGACAGTTTTAATGGATGAATCTATTTGCTTTTCAGTTCAGACCTGCAGGTGAATTTGCTGTTGATGGCTGGATGTGTGTCGCTTTGTCCTCATGTTGTTCTGGACTCTCCGATCTCTGGGATTGTGTGATCGAACATTCCTTAAAGTTAATTGAGCATTAAAGGCTTTGTGAAGGAGGGAGTTTACCTAGTAGATCAACCTCTTGTTTCCTCTTTCAGTTTAATACAGTTGTTTTAAAGAGGACAAAAATACTATTAGCAATGTATAAGACTAAATGTCTACCTTTGGTTCATTTTGTTAAGTTAAAGGCAAATTTATTAGAGCACCTGTGAAAATTTGTATTATTTTTCAAATATTTATTAAGTGCTGGTAAACAGAGTAATTGAATTTTACAGTATTAGCTGTTGTATTTTTTTCTAATATATATATATACATATATATATATATATATTAGTTTGATGTAAATAAAAAAAACCAGGCTCATTCTGATTACATACTCCTATGTACATTTCTAGAGAGCGCCAAATACGTCCCAGCAGCTATGTCTTTTTGCAGTTTTTGTTTTTGCGAATCCTGCAACAGAGACTAATGACAAATGAATGAACAATCTTCTTGCCGACAGATTGATGAAATGTACAGTATGAAGATTTAAATGGTTGAAATCTTTAATTAGAGTCTTAAAACAGATTAATGTCATCAAATCATTCTTACTGAACTTACGGAAACTTTCTGATTAGATTTAATTGTATATTTATTTATTAACTTGATAATACTGCTGTTGTTTTCTCACGGTATAAATAGATTGCCATTGTACTGAATGTCTTGAGACCTTGATCTTGTAAAAGTTATTTTTAATCAGGGTCAGTGCCGTTCAAACACCCTCTGGAATGTGAATCATATCAAAATGTACAGGAAGATAAAAATACAGTATGAAATACACCAAGGATTGTGTTTTTTTTAATGTGTGTGTTAAAGTCAGGGTTCATACGGTCATAAAAAACCTGGAAAAGTCAAGGAATTTTGACATGGTATTTTCCATGCCTGGAAAAGTTTTGGAAAAACAGAAAAACCCCAAAAGTTATGAAAAAGTCATGGAAATTAGTTTAACAAATATCTGTTAAACTTGAGTTAGGGCTGAGCGATATTGGAAAAATCTGACATTACAATATTTTTTGTTTCTGTGATTGATTGGGGGTATTTTGTAGAGGAGGGGATCTCGAATAATATATAACAACTAAATTACAAGCATAGATAAATAAATAAAGATAAAAGTGAATTATAGTTTTCAGGTATTCACTATTCAGGTACAGATATTGAATAATGCATGATTTTAGCCTCGACTTTGACTCGCAGACAGGATTTGAGAAATCGCCAACAAATGCCTGAAATCACAGGCAAATCGGTGCTCATGCACGTGAGTGACAATCACACAGTATGAACTATCAAAGACGCAAACTGAGGGTGCTTTCACACCTGTGAATCAATTCAGTTGTTCCAAAACCGAGATTACAAATGTTACATTGTTGCTCTTTGCTCTTGGAGCGGTTCGCTTTCACACTGCAAAGTTTCTAATCGGACCAAAAGAGCTATAACAAGTCACGTGTGAGTAAACTCTCCTCACATTGATCAGGGTCAGGGTTTATTTTGCAGTGTCCCGCTCAGCTGTCAGGAGAGGTGGTGGTTTGGTGGTGATTGACAAGGTGCGCGAGCGTGCGACGTGTCTGAGGAGAGATGCGGTGGGGAGGGGTGAGAAGGGTGCACGACGATGCCTATATGAGGACCGGGAGGGAGACGCGAGATTACAAGGAGATCATCACTCGTTTGCGGGCATCCGGAGACTCCCGAAACTTCCCGCTCAACTCATAATTCTTTCTTCATCTAGCCGTATGCATATTACATATCCATAAAACACTGTGATATAACCGCGCTCGGATCGGATCACTTTCTCACTGCAATCGAATTGCTCCAGGGTTCGTTTTAATCGAGCCGAGACCACCTCACTCAGGCGGTCTCAGAGCGATTACTTTGGCGTGGAACAGAGCGCGATTGCCCTGTTCACATATGCCAAATGAACCGCGCTAGCTGGGCAAACGAGACACATTCCGAAACAAAAGTTTAGGTGTGAAAGCACCCTGAGAGAATCGCCGATGAGTCGCCGATGCCTGTGAGATATTTGGCGTGCTAAATATCTGGAGCTGTCGGCAATTCAAATCATGCCGTGTGAAATGAGTTTTGACTGAAAATAACATTGGCGATTGCCTACGATAATGAGAGAGCAGCATTTACTTGTGTGTGTGTGTGTGTGTGTGTGTGTGTGTGTGTGTGTGTGTGTGTGTGTGTGTGTGTGTGTGTTTGTACCTGCAGGCCAGCGGGAGGATGGGGGAGAGGTTAAAAGCGCTCATTTTTGGTATATTTAGACTCAAGAAATGGAGGAAAAACTAGCAGAGGTTTGACAGGAGCACCCGTGTCTGTTTGACATTTCATTCAGAAAGTTAAAAAAGAAAGTTGAGGAGAAATTGCTATTTCCCTTCAAACGAAGGTGAGCAAATATGTACATTTTCTACCCCATTAAAGGCTCCTTTCTTGTTATGTAGTAATAACAAGAGATAAGGGCCGTGTTTTTTGGCTGTGAGACGTAGTTTGGACGAAGTTGTCAGCCATTCTTCCTATTGTAAAGTCATGCGATGTGAAAGGCCCTGTCGCCGATCCATCTTGCAGTGTAAACAAAGCAGCAACAAAACGCAAGCCCAGATAGTCATGCAGTGTGAAAACATCTGTGACACGACTTCTTTAAAAATCTTGCAGTCTGAACTCGGCATAATCAACACTGCATAGTCTTCATTGTATATTATTTAATCTTTAATTTATTTATTATACAAAAAAAAGTCTTGTGTTTGGATGTTGAAATGTTCACACAGTCGTAGGCCTTAAAGGGACAGTTTAAAAAATTAGCTTAAGGTGGCTAATAATACTGACCTTAAAATTGGTTTAAAAAATAAAAACTGCTTTCATTCTAGTTGAAATAAAACAAATAAGATTTTCTCCACAAGAAAAAATATTATAGGAAATACTGTGATAATTTCCTTGCTCAGTTAAACATCATCTGGGAAATGTTTGGGGAAAAAATGCACAGGAGAGCGAATAATATTAACTGTATATACAGTATGTTGTAGATGTTGTTTTACCTATCATAATATTTAATTAGCTTTATGTTGATCTGAAGATTCATTTTCAGTCCAGTTAGCCGTCACAGCTGTGAGACTCCTGTCACATTGTCCTTTTTGTGTTCTGTGTGTTTGCAGAATGATTGAAGATTCAGGCCGAAACAGCAGCACCATGGCAGACAGAAGGCAACTGTTTGCTGAAATGCGTATGTATTGCTCTGATATAGAGCTCATTCAATGTAATATGAACATAAGAAGACATGTGCTTCCATTCAAAATGTTATTTATTATTATTTTTTTAATAATAACAATACTTTCTGATTAGCAAGGATTTATTGAATCAAGTAAAATGACAATAAATTAAGTTATAATATTTCAAACAGATGTTTTTTTAAAGAGCAATTCCAGCATTATGGATGTGACATTTGCAGTAAAAACTCAAAACATAAATTCGCATAGAAAGTATACACTGACATTATATTGAAACATCTGTTTATATTTTCCAAAACTACTAACCACAGACTTATAAGATCAGACAAATATCAATCTGTAAACATCTTTTATATTTTAAATGAGGGAAATTAACATGTATATGAACAAAAAGATATGCAGGTTTACAGTAAACTACCCCGGTTTCCCCCCTCCATCCAAAAACATGCTAATTAAGTTAATGACTAATCCAAATCTGCACCATAGACATGCTCCTATAAGTAGTTATCTCTTAAGAGCAATCACTATCTGTTTATTAGCTTCTATAGCAGAGGAGTCCTTGAGATCTACCTGAGCTCAAACTCCCTTCTCGTCTTGCAAACGGGAGGGTGTCCCAGGCTCGAGGATCTTATGAGATCAGGGCTCTCAATCATCAGCTAAGTGTGAACTCTTGAAACAGTGATAGCGCAAAAAAGAGCATCACATGTCTGATTATTTTGTTCCATATAAAGTTATGGGTCAATCATGGATAAAAACAAGCATGTAGCTACAAACATACATCTTATGGAACATCACTATTCAGTTTACTAACACCATTGACATTCAGTTCACTTCCAAGTGGAAATAAATAAATAACTCACTCATCTAATCTTCAAGAAGTGCCTACAGTTACTTCTTCCGTCACATTTTCTGGCTGACTTTACTCGCTTTGTTTCTGTCTCCTGCTATCCTGATCCAGGGATGCAGTTTCATCTTCTTGAAATCTCTTTTGATCAGGCTCATTATCAGATTTGCTTGTGGTTTTAAAAAAATGAAAACATGTTTGTCTGACTCTTTGCCATTTTAAAAACACATATATTATTCAGTTAGACCGCTATGCCATTATTTATTTTCGCTGCTCACTGCGCACAAACAATCACCAACCAATAAGAGTGATTGTTAACATAAGAAAGCCGATTGGCTGTAAGTATTGTTGAGGGCCAATAGTTAAGCGTGCCTTTTGCTTTAACTTGCGCATGGTGACTACTGCTATGTGTGAGTACGTACACACACAATCCACACAGCCATAGCTTGCACTCGTTCACATTCTATCACACACACACACACACACACACACACACACATTGAAATTTTTTTCAACACACTTTAAAACATAATAGTTTTAATAACTCAATTCTAATAACTGATTTAGTTTATCTTTGGCATGATGACAGTAAATAATATTTTACTAGACATTTTTCAAAATACTTGTATTCAGCTTAAAGTGGCATTTAAAAGCTTAACTAGGTTAATTAGGCTAATTAGTTAGGGTAATTAGGTAGGTTATTGTATAACGGTGGTTTGTTCTGTAGACAATTGAAAAAATTATTTAGCTTAAAGGGGCTAATCATTTTGACCTTAAAATGGCTTTTAAAAAATTCTAAACTGCTTTTATTCTTGCCGAAATAAAACAAATAAGACTTTCTCCAGAAGAAAAAATATTATCAGACATACTGTGAAAATTTCCTTGCTCTGTTAAACATCATTTGGGAAATATTTAAAAAATAAATAAATTTAAAGGGGGGATAATAATTCTGACTTCAGCTGTATCTGACATTTTCAGGAACAGGATCCAGCAAGATCCGGCTCAAATTAAGCACTGACTGTAAAATACAAACCTACACACACACACACACACACACACAAAAACTTAGAAAGGGTTTCGCTATTTTGATGAAAACTTAATTTTTTTCACGGCAGAGTTGACATTTGCATGGAATTGTTCATATTCTTTAAAGTGTCCTAAAATAAATGTTTCACGTGTTAAATGTTTAAACAGTAATAATGATAATAAATGCAAATCAGAGGCTAACCTAATGACTTTAAAACTTAGACTTTAAAACACACAGCCATCTCACCTATTCTGTTGTCAATTTTACATCTGTACACATCAGAAAGTGTTATGGAGGTCTAGTTTAGCATACATGCAAACACACACAAAATGATATATGCTGATTGTTCAATCTACTCGTTTAAAATAAGTTTTAACAAAACACTTATTGAAAACTAAAATGTTTAATATGTTTACTGTTTAATCCACTTAAATTAGATTTAAAAAGCAAGTTAACTTATTTGTTGTGTGTTGGTGCAACCAAGAACCTGAGCATTTTTTAGAGTATAAGTTTGATTTTAAATAAGTAATTTTTTACTCTTTTTGTTTTTATTTCCTTAAAAGAACTATAAAATCCAGAACTTGTTATATTTGCCTTTATTTTTCGTCAATCCTCTACGACCTTGTTGCAGTTCATTTTTCTGTTTCACAATGACTACAACCTTTTTAAAGAAAGTGCAACATCACACTCTGTGGGAGCTGCCATTTTAGTGTAATATTAGAGGGGGGAATTATGAAATGAAAAAAGGTCAATTAGCATACTGTTATTCTCTTATTTTGATCATTATTGCGGTAGCGTTTGCTTGGGAAATTTAGCTTTAGTTGTTTTGAGTGTTTATAATTTGATTTAATTTGGCTGATGTAAACTTTCCAGTTTTCGATGATGTTGGTACAGCCCGAAGGTGTGGCTTCAGTCTCTAAAAAGACTCCCCTGGCTTAAAGCTGGCAGTCTTGATGCGAAATAAACAAGCAACCTATTTGTGTACTTGGATCTTTGTGGATTATCCAGTTAGTGTATTGTTGCATTTATTTTACATTTTGCGCGATTTTTATTTATTTGGGGATTTTTGCTCACCTGTAAATATTTTTGCAAACATTTTTAAGGGATTAAACATCATATTCTGGCACAGGACATCATTGCATTCTCTCTCCATTGACTAGAAGTGCTTTTTTTTTCACTGTTGGGTGACGTGCGTGTATAACCAGCTGACATGCTACCCAATACAAGGAGTCAGACTGTGGAGGGAACAGATCCAGATGTGGAACAAGGTGCTGTTGGAGGTGTTTCAGAAGAGCAACTCGTGTCTACAGCCGGAGGAGATTCTCCAATCACAGATTGGCCACAAATGTTAGAGTCGTTCATGCAGTATCAATGGGAGTGGGACGAGAGGCAAGAGAAAAAGGCTGCTTTCCTTGATCAAAGCTGCAAGGTCCTTAACCATCAGCTCAGTCAAATGCAGCTAGACATGGATCGGATGCGAGAAAGAGCTGCAGAGCAGGGGATAGACTGCGAACCACGAACGGCAAGACTTGAGGAGTGTGATGACATTGAACACTATCTTAGCACTTTAGAAACACTTGCAGGCATGCATCAGTGGCCGAAGGAGGACTGGGCTGTTCGCTTTGTACCCTTATTGTCAGGCAAAGCTCAAAGTGCATTTGTGGCGATGAACCCCTCACAAACCAGAGACTACGATCAGGTAAAAGCTGCAATTCTAAAAAAATATGAAGTCAATGCAGAGACATATCGGCTGAGATTTCGGTCCCTGAGTACGCCTGCAGACGAGACGCCTAAAGAGCTGTGTATGCGCCTGAAGGACTCGTTCTACAAATGGGTAAACTATGAGCAATTCAACAATCGAAACTTTATGGAGACACTTGTGCTGGAGCAGTACCTGCGAGTGCTGCATCCTGATGTGAGGTCTTGGGTGAAAGCAAGAAATCCTGACACTGCCGATCATGCTGCAACACTGGTGGAAGCCTATATTGCTACTCAAAAACCTAATATTGCTACTCAAAATGGATCAGGAACAACTCGATATGATGGCATCCATCACTACTCAAAGGGTAAGTCTGAGGGGTTAGAAGTGGGTTCAAACTCTCAAAGATGTACCAAGGTTTTTACGTCCTCCACAACTTCTGGTAGAATGCCCCAGAAAGTAGCTAAGGGAGAGAGTGTTGTATGTTTTAACTGTGGTCAGTGGGGTAATATTCGCCCCACTTGCCCTCTCAAAAAGCCCAAGATAAAAAGACTTTCTGTGCCCTGGCCTGAAAGTTTAACTACACAGTCTGATCTAGAGCCAGTCGTCACTGATCAGCCAATTCCAGCTTTGCTGAACACAGGTAGTTCCCTGTTTCTTGTTTCCCTTGTTTAACTCTTTTCCCGTCAGCTAAATTTTTGTTAAGTTACCACCACAAGCATTTTGGATGATTTTCACCTAGATTCGACAGCCCTCAGAATATTAGCTACACTGTAAAAATAAGTTGACTTAACTTACAATTTTAAGGCATACAGCTTCAGGACATTTTTAAGTTTACTCAATAAAATCTAGTTAAGTGCAGTACTTTGTTTGAAAGTTGAGTCAACTTTTTTTTCAGTATACTTTGAAAATATGAGCAAGTTTTATATCTGAATAAAGAACAAAGCATTTACCTTAAAACAACAACTATATTTTATATAATATACAATTGAAGTCAAAATTATTAGCCCCCCTTTGAATTTTTAAAATCTTTTTAAAATGTTTCTCAAATAATGTTTAACAGAGCAAGGGCATTTTTTATTAGACATTTTGATTTTGAACAAAGCCTGAGATCCACCTAACAAAATATGTAAAATAAAGATAAAAACAGTAATGTTGTAATAATAAGTACAAAATCGGGATTGAAACATAAATGATACAGTCTCTCTCGTATTTGATCAAAATTGTACAGTTTTTTTACTGGCTCCATTTATTTTGGCTGTGGTGTATTCCAGACTAATAATGTCCAGTAGACAGAGCCTCCAGGATAGATCAGTTGGAGCAGATGGATCCAGCCATAGTTTCAGGATTGTTTTTTTGCAGCAGTCAGAACAACTGACCCTTTTTTGGTTGATGGATAAGGAGAGTGATGAATCGTCCAGCATAAGAAAAAAACAATGGGTGGCATTGGATAGAGCAAGGAAATTTTCACAGTCTGATAATATTTTTTCTTCTGGAGAAAGTCTTATTTGTTTTATTTCAGCTAGAATAAAAGCAGTTATTAATTTTTTAAACACCATTTTAAGGACAAAATGATTAGCCCCTTTAAGCTATATATTTTTCAGATAGTCCACAGAACAAACCATTGTTATACAGAAACTTGTCTAATTACCCTAACCTACCTAGTTAACCTAATTAACCTATTTAAGCCTTTAAATTTTACTGTAAGGTGTGTAGAAGTGTCTACATTAAAAGTACACATTAAGACCTAAAAATTTAAGAGGATCACTTTTGTATTTATAAGTACTAATATGTCCTCTTAAAGTATTAATATGGACCTTTAAGGTGCAAATTTGTACCTTTTGAAAAGGCACCACAACAGTGACAGCTTGCATGGCATGGAAATAATATTTTTTTTTATTCCTTTTTTATTGAACATTTTGATTTTGAACAAAGCCCAAGATCCACCCAACAAAATATGTAAAATAGTAATGTTGTAAAAATAAGTACAAAATCAGGATTGAAACATAAATGATACAGTCTCTTTCATATTTGGCCAAAATTGTACAGTTTCTTTACTGGCTCCATTTATTTTGGCTGTGGTGTATTCCAGACTAATAATGTCCAGTAGATAGAGCCTCCAGGATTGTCAGTTGGAGCAGATGGATCCAGCCATAGTTTCAGGATTGTTTTTTTGCAGCAGTCAGAACAACTGACAGAGTCATTTTTTGGTTGATGGATAAGGAGAGTGATGAAACGTCCAGCATAGGAAAAAGCAATGGGTGGCATTGGATAGAGCAAGAAAATGTTCACAGTATGTCTGATAATATTTTTTCTTCTGGAGATAGTCTTATTTGTTTTATTTCAGCTAGAATAAAAGCAGTTTTTAATTTTTCAAACACCATTTTAAGGACAAAATTATTAGCCCCTTTAAGCTATATATTTTTCAGATAGTCTACAGAACAAACCATCGTTATAGAATAACTTGCTTAATTACCCTAACCTGCCTATAGTTAACCTAAATAACCTAGTTAAGCCTTTAAATGTCACTTTAAACTGTATAGAAATGTCTACCTTAAAAGTTTACATTAGTACCTAGAAATGAGGAGGAACACTGTATTTTTTAAGAACTAATATGTCCCCTTGAGGTATTAATATTGACCTTTAAGGTACAAATTTGTACCTTTTGAAAAGGCACCACCCCAGTGACAGCTTGCGTACCTTTAATTCTGAGAGTGTAGATTTGTAAAATACGGGAGAATCCCTGGAAAAACGGGAGAGTTGTTAGGTATGAAGTAAACTATATGTAAAAACAAAAACTATAATAGTATGCTTTAAATAAAAGTTAGTCAACACAGGTGCCTTTTCAGGGTCTTAACATGTTGTGTTTGATTCATCATAACACTCTCTGACCGAGTTAAGATTAAGGGAAGAGATTTCTTTGAGTGAGTTGTGATTATGCTACCAGATACCCTAAGGCTTTCCCACTAAGAGAGGTAAGAAAGTAGTCAATGCACACCTTAGATTTTTAGTGTCTAAACTTCATTGGCAACACCCTTCCAAAGGTTTATCAATTACTGGGTATAAAGAGAGTATGAACCAACCCCTTACCATCCTCAGACTTATTCTCCGGCTGGTGGAACATTTCAATCAAATCTAAAAACCATGCTGAAGAAACTTGTGTCTAATACAGGAAAGGACTGAGATGAATGGCTGCCATTTCTTTTGTCAGCATATATGTAGGTGTTTCAGGTATTTACTGGCTTTTCACACTTTGAGCGTCTAAACCACAGGTCACCCTTTGCACACAAGGTCAAATGGATGTTTGGATGAATTAAGGGAGAGTTGGGAAACTACTGATAATCCAGGGAATAACGATATTCGCTCCTGTGTGCTACTGCCAAAGACAACTGTACAAGCAGGACATAACCTCTAGCAGTTTCAAGCATGCCAGAAGAAGTGGTATGACAGAATGGCTGTACGTTTGAGCCAGGGACAACGGTTCTGTTACTGCTACAAATTGCTGACCCCTACCAAATAAAGCAGAAGGTGAGCCCTAATATGTGATATTAGATCCCATCCGGAGCACAATCTTTGCAAACCGTCCATGTGAAAATGCTAAAAGAGTATGTTCATTCCCCATAGCCAGAACCTGACCATGGAGACAGAGGAACAATACCTGCCAGTTCAAGACATCGGAATGACAAACTAAAGCAGGAACTTCTTTAAAGCCTCAGCTTTTCATGGAGACTCCTGGCAGAACTAACCTAATCCAACATCAGATCACACTTAAAGACTGCAAAACAGTTTCGTCAGCCAGCATACAGGATCACAGAGACACTTCTACTAGTTATGAAGGAGTTGGAGATCGTGCAGAATCATTCAGTGCTTGGATTTCCGCAAACTCAACAATGTGAACAAATCTGACCCGTATCCCATGTGAAGTGTGGAGAGAATCGTAACAAACATGATCTCTTCAAAGTATACTGACAGGTTTCACTATAAGTAGAAAATGTAAGGATGCAACTGCAATATAAACCTATGGAGAGCTTCAGTTCTGTGTTCCACCCTTTGGGCTGAATGGCGCTCCAGCTACTTTTCAGAAGATGATGGATCAGGTCCTTGTTGTGATTGAAAATTTTGCAACTGCATACTTAGATGACATCATCATCTACTGTCAAACTTGGTAGGAGCATCGGAATAATCTAAATGTCCAAATAAAACTTTTTTGGTGGATGAAACATCATATTCTGGTCAGTGGCGTAGCGCAAAATGCGGAGGCCGCCCTGCAGGGATCACTGACGGGGCCCCCTGATGTATTGGTGACGCGATCACAAATTAAGGAGCGATCACAAATTAAGGAGCGTGGAAGGCAGGCGGGGTGGAGCGACAACGCGGGGAAGCCTTCACAAACTGAGGAGCGATCACAAACCGAAAGCGGCGAGAGCGTCAAAGTAGCCAGAAGTCATTCATTTTCAATGAGAACTGGCGGCGAGAAACAGCGCGGCACGTCTTCTCCGGGGTGTGAGCGTCAAGGAGAGATCAAATCAAGTCAACTTTGAGCTACGATATGACGCGGTTCAGCGGCAAGCAATCAGAATAAAGTAGTCCACCGCTTGAGAGGTGTTCAGAGAACACAGACCTGAGAACTTTGGTTCTGACCACAGTTGTTCCCAAGAGTTTGATTATTGCGGTTGCTGGATTTTCAACTATTGAAAATCGTGACGACGCGGGGCCCCCTAATCACGCGGGGCCCCCCCCGCGGTGCGTGCCCTGCGGGCCCATCCGCTACGCCACTGATTCTGGTACAGCATGTCATTGCATTCCCTTTACAAACCATTAGACTTCCAACATAATGCATAAGAAGGATTTCTTAGAGAATTGTGTGACACTGAATATATATTTATCTCACTATCTACTTATTTAAGGGTGTTTTCACACCTACCTTATTTAGTTTGATTGAATCGCACTAGAGTTCGTTTCCCCTTTTGGTACGGTTCGTTTGGGCAGGTGAGAATGCAGAAATCGTACTCGAGTGCACACCAAAAGCGGACCAAATAAGCGTACCGAGACCTGCTTGAAGAGGTGGTCTCGGTACGCTTTCAAACGAACCCTGGAGCGTCTGTGGTGAGAATAGGATCCGTACTAAAACAGGTCCAACCGCAAAAAGTACTGCGCGTTTTGGACTAATTCAGCTGCCGTAGGCCGATGCGCTGTGCATTTTGGGATATGGAGGAAAAATAATTGTTGACAGCGCTTTACCAACAGAGAGAGAGAGAGAGATAGAGGAAAACATTACCTGATGGATCGTTGGTAATATTTCAGCAAGATGACCATGTCGCAGTTTAGCTAAATTAATTCACGTCTCATCCTGAAGTGTCGAGCGATGCATTAAACACTGTTTTCTAGCTGCGGCCGCGCTTCATTTTCGTAATGTATAGTTTGTCTAAAGCAGGGATACAATCAGCCAGCGCAGTCGTCCCTCCAGAGTAAAAGGTTTTGTTTACCTGCGGGAATTCACTGGCATTTTCCCGCACGTAAATTCTGACCAATCAATAAGCAGTTTAGGAAATATGTTCAACAACATCTGGCCAATGAGAGATGTGGATTTTGTCAGATGAATGCATTTTGGTTCGTTTCAACTGGTTCGGACCAAAGCCAGCAGTGTGGTGTGAAAACAACCCAAAGACGGCCGAAGATGCAACAATGTATCATTTATTACCCTTGGTCCAGACCAAATGAAGCGAACTACAGATGTGAAAGCACCCTAAGTAATTTGTCTCGGAAATAAATAATATTTTCTGAAACATGCAGAGAAAAAAAAGCTGTATTTCACAATATTTTCACAACATTTCTATTTTTATTTTAATTTTTATTAAAATAATGCTGACTTTGAGTAAAAGAAACATTTTTAAATCACTAAGAACCATTTAAATAAGAGTATAATCATGCTAATATTTTTAATAAAAGCTATCCTAAACCACCAGTGTAAGGTGTTCTGGCTGGTTCTACAACTTAAAAAGACTTTCAGAGGCTGACCAAAGCTTCCTAAACACCACCTTGATCAGCTTAAAGCAGATAAAATGTCTTAAGCTGATGTAAGTTCTGCATTTTGCCGTGTGTCCAGAAGATGTGATGTTTTCATCTGTCACAGGTGCACTAGATCTGGACTCCATCAGATTGTCCACTTACAGGACAGCGTGCAAGCTGAGATTCATCCAGAAGAGGTGCAATTGTAAGTATGATCGTCATTTTAACTTTAGTGAAACACAAATATATGCGCATTCGTCTGAGAATTATATGAAGCATTTAGGTCAGAGATGAGACGACCTGTTTTGGTGTCTGCATCAATATGTTTTGTAAAAATAAAATGTTAAAAAATTATTTAACAATTGTTGGTGACAAATGGGTAGAATCTAGTGGTTTGGAGCACAGTGGTATGACATTTAAAAACACAATTAAAGGGAATTATAGGCAGTGTTGGGTAAATTACTTTTAGAAAGTAATTCTTAGGTCATTACAAACAGTATTTAAATTACTTTTATTAATACTTTGTCTGAAAAGTAACTTAATAGGTAGTTTAATTACTTAAACATTTATTAAAAAATAAACAAATCTCAATGTATGGGCAATACACTGATTGCCATTTTACTCTCTCTCGTGTCTCTCTATTGTAAATCAGTGTAAAAATGCATGATTGTCAACATTTTGCTCAGACAAGCATTCAGGTAAACCTATTCTATTGGTTATACTCGCCTATTTTACGGGTGATATAACCATTATGATAGATGTTTCATTTTGGAAACTGAAAAATCTACTGTAGTCTTTGTCTCTTTTGCAGTTCCAGATGTTCTTATTTGTTTAATCCTTGTTTTTGCAGTGCATTTAGTGGATATCTGGAATATTATTGAGGTTTTCCGGGAAAACAGACTCAACTCTGTGGAGCTCAATACAGAATTCTCAGTGTCGCATTTGCAAGCAATACTGTCCACCATCTTTCAGCAGCTGAACAAGCGCTTGCCCACAACCCACCAGATCAACGTGGACCAGTCCATCTCGTACCTCCTCAACTTTCTGTTAACAGCATATGATCAGTAAGAAACTCACACACAATCATTTGCCTTAGATTTGTCTGAAAAGAGTGAACATAAGGTATGACAGGATTTACAGTTGAAGACAGAAATATTCGCCCCCTTTGAGTTTCTTTTCTTTTTTAAATATTTCTGAAATTATTTTTAATAGAGCAAGGAAATTTTCACAGTATGTCTGATAATATTTTTTATTATTATTTGTTTTATTTTGGCAAGAATAAAAACAGTTTTAAATTTTTTAAAAACATTTTAAGGTCAAAATTATTAGCCCACTTTAAGCTATTTTTGTCCCAATAGTCTACAGAACAAACCATTGTTATACAATACATTCATTCATTTTCTTGTCAGCTTAGTCCCTTTATTAATCTGGGGTCGCCACAGCAGAATGAACCGCCTGTTATACAATAACTTGCCTAATTACCCTAACCTGTGTAGTTAACCTAATTAACCTAGTTAAGCTTTTAATTGTCACTTTAAGCTGTATAGAAGTGTTTAGAAAAATATCTAGTCAAATATTATTTACTTTCATCATGGCAAAGATAAAATAAATCAGTTATTAGAAATGAGTTATTAAAATTATTATGTTTAGAAATGTGTTGAAAAAAGAAAGGTTAAACAGAAATTAAGGGAAAAAAATAAACAAGGGGCTAATAATTTAGGGGGGCTAATAGTTCTGACTTCAATTGTGTGTGTATATATATATATATATATATATATATATATATATATATATATATATATATATATATATATATATATAGTACAGAACAGCAGACAATAGTAAAAATGAGCAACAGCATTAACAAAATTAAACAAAAATAAACAAAATGTCTCCAAATATTCACAAAAAACGGAACAAACAGTTGTTTAAGATATGTGTGCCACAATTTTTTGCAAACCTCTAAATTCCTGAGAAAATATATTTGAAGTATATTCCCTTTGATATTTTGCAATTTTAGTAGAACTAGGTGACGACAGTAAAAAGAAATTGGTCAGTCTCAACCTCTTATTTTTTACCCATATGGAAATCTGATGTATGGCAATATAATCAAAATATACATCACATATTTATATACAAGTTAATGTTTGGATTTCTATGGCTGTGGCTCAGTGGTAAGCTCTGTCACCTCACAGCAAGAGAGTGACTAGTTCGAGTCTCAACTAGTCTCAGTTCAAGAGTTCACACTTAGCTCATGATTTATACATAGCTTGTTTGGCATGCTGTCCCGGGAGAGAGCCCTGAGCTCAAGGGATCCTCGAGCCCAGGGCTCCCCCCCTTTTGCAGGGCGAGTGGAGATTGAGCTCAGGTCTATCTCAAACTCCCCCGCTGCTGAGGCCAAGGCGAACTTCCTGAGAGTAAGACAATATAAAAAAGGTTTAGGCTTGTTTTATCTATAATATAGAGCACATTTGGATGGTGGGAGGAAACCGGGGAACCCGGGGGAAACCCACGCGGACACGGGGAGAACATGCAAACTCCACACAGAAATACCAGATGGCTCAGCGAGGACCCAACACCATTGGTATTCTTGCTGTGAGGCAACAGTGCTAGTCACTGGGCCACCGTGCCGCCCATTCTGGATAAAGGAGGAAGAAGGGGAGGAGGGGGGTTTCTTCCAGACGAAGATAGTTGTAGAAAGGAAATGAGGATACATATAGTGATTTGGGATCCTTCGATTGGAGGATCATAATTAGTTAATGTGGACCAGCTGGGTAAATCATGAGCACATGCTCCTCTCGAAATTAGTTTAAAACTAAACTTCACTTAATGTTTCTGTGTGGAGTTTGCTTGTTCTCCCTGTGTAGGCGTGGGTTTCCTCCGGGTGCTCTGGTTTCCCCCACAGTTCAACAACATGACGTATAAGTGAATTGGGTGATTCCCAGTACTGAGTTGCAGCTGAAAAGCCCTCGGCTGTGTAAAACATATGCCCGAATAGTTGGCGGTTCATTCCGATGTGGCAATTTCTGATAAAAAAAGGGACTAAGCTTAAGGAAAAGTTAATGAAAAAATGAATGTTTGGTTTTCAGAGATATAAATATGCAGCATATATGTAATGGTGCTATCCAAGTAAACCTCACTATTCTGACCTTTGACCTCTGAAGGTGCTCTAGCGACAAATGCCAGAGGCTACGGTCATGAGAAAGGTGATATTCCTTTATGAGGTCTGTCTTTTAAAATATACTTGTAATGAATGAATCATTACACACTATATTATATATATATATATATATATATATATATATATATATATATATATATATATATATATATATTGTAGCGAGGCAGAGGGAAAACACAAACACAGTTGAGTTGAGTTACAAACAATGCCCCGGAGGGTGCTTTATTTACAAGTGATATAGTGATTAAAGGGGTGCTCTTCTTAGGGTGCGTGCTCAAGTGCTCCGGGGAGATGGTGTAGGCTGGTGAGAGTTCGGGTGTTGGATCGGTCACGACCTGGATTCGGCTGTGGGAGAGACAAAGAGACACAAGCGTTAGCGCAGGGAGTCATGTGGAAATGAAGCTCATCCTCTTCCTGTGTGGGGCTGGCTTTTATCTCTCCCTGGCTGATAAGGTCCAGCTGTGAGCGATCCGGTGCTGATGAGGTTCCAGCTGGGGTGGATTTGTGACCAGGGCGACGTGGCATCAGCAGACTCGCTACAATATATATATATATATATATATATATATACACATACAGTGATTTGCATAAAACTCTCAAAAATACGCCCCTCAAAGATTTTTCTTTTGAATGAATATTTTCTATTGGATGATTTACAATAATATATTTTTAATCATTAGATTAGTCAGTACCAAAGCCAAAACTGGAACTATTTTTACAAAAATATTAGTACACCCAAGTTAATATGTTGGGGGAAAATATAAAAAAAATTATACACACGAAAAATCAATCATTTTTTTCCTTTAGTTGAAATATTGTAAGTTGTATTGTTTTCCTAAAGATGTTAGGTGACAAAACTCTTATTTTAATGAATATAACTGTTAAATCAAATGGTTGTGTTAATTTTTTTCAAAAGGCGGTGTACTCACTTATGCTGAGCACTGTAGATGCACAATTGATCATATTTAAAACTGGTTATAATAAATCTAACATCTTGCATAAGAGAATTGTGTATGCTTAATTGTTCGTGGTGTATGTGTGTGAATGAGTATGCATGGATATTTTCCAGTGATGGGTTACAGCTGGAATGGCATCCGCTGCATTAAACATAAGCTGGATAAGTTGGCGGTTCATTCCGCTGTGGCGATCCTAGATTAATAAAGGGACTAAGCCGAAAAGAAATGAATGAATGAATGAATGAATCTAATAATATTGGGCTTGTTTTTAAAGCTTTGGTTGCTTGTTTATGGCAATAAATCTTTCTGCTAGTCTGAGTTTGTCTTTTCTGCCTTGCATCAGACCCTCACTAGCTCAACTCTCCCCTCGTCTGCTGGTTTTTACTCTGTTTTCCTGCATATTCTCTGGCTTTCATCTGCTGGATGTTGTTTACCCACATGCACACTCAGTTTTTTGAGATACAGCTAACCCTCCATTTTTGAAGTGTTCAATAAAACGAACATGGAAGCTTCTTAAAGCCTCCATCTGTGCTCGGGTCCATTTCTCTGCTCCTTGACAATCAGATTCCCATATGGGTGCAGGGGTATAAATATGAGGAACACGCTGGCCCTTTACTCAAAAATTCATCAAAATGCGTAGGGGCTAAAACACATCTCCGGTCCTGAGCTTTACAAAATGGAGTTTCTGCTTTAAGGAAAAAAAAATAAAGAACACTGAGTGTGCCCGTTTCCCCCATCAGCGCAATAAGAAAGAAAATATGAAGAGCCATGGATCAGTCTGAAAGAGGATATTGTGTGTATTCTGTCCAAACACACCATTAGGAGGACGCTTCGAGTGCCCAAGTTTGTTTCGCAGGAGTTGGTTTGGTCTCGGGGTCAGAGAGTTCAAATCTCCTATACTGTAATGTGATACATGGAAATATATGCGTATGACATACAGTTGAAGTCAGAATTATTAGCCCCCCTTAGATTTATTTTTTCTTTTTAAAATATTTCCCAAATTATGTTTAACTGAGCAAGGAAATTTTCACAGTATGTCTGATAATATTTTTTCTTCTGGAGAAAGTCTTATTTGTTTTATTTCGGCAAGAATAAAAGCTGTTTTACATTTTTTATGAACCATTTTAAGGACAAAATTATTAGCTTCTTTAAGCTATATTTCTATTCAATAGTCAGACAGAACAATCCCTCTTTATTTAGTAACTTGCCTAATTACCCTAACCTGCCTAGTTAACCTAATTAAGCTAGTTAAGCCTTTAAATGTCACTGTAATCTGCATAGAAGTGTCTTGAAACTTTACTGTCGTCATGGCAGAGATAAAATAAATCAGTTATTAGAAATGAGTTATTAAAACTATTACGTTTTAGAAATGTGTTGAAAAAATCTCTCCGTTAAACAGAAATTGGGGAAAAACATAAACAGGGGGGCTAATAATTCTGACTTCAACTGTATATACATACCAGTTCGTATTTGATTTGTATATATTTATACAACAGTTCTGTCTGGTTCTCGAATCTGATTGGCTGATAACCTTGCAATATTCCACAATATCAGCACTCATAACGCCTTCTCAACCTTGTGTATTACTCTGGCCACATAAGGTGACAGCAGATCAATAAACTCACTACAGTTTGACACAAATTGCAGCTGTTGGACAACATAATGTACTTTTAAGGCTTTTTTTAAGGCGATAATAGTTGATTAGATTGCAACTATGCAGTTTATTTACTGCTTAAGGACAGTGCCTACTTTAAATATTTATAATTTTGGAGATTCACCATGTTCGCGACTATCAGCCTGACATACTGTGCAGAGCAAAGACGGTTGACGTTCCGCCACAAAATGGCAACAGAGACCGCATATTAAGTGCTTAAGGGAGAAAAACAGCGTCAATTACAAACCACAGCTGATCAAATCATTCTAAAACAGGTTAGTGATATTCTAAGTCTGTTTTTTTGGGATTAATTATTGAGAACTGATTGCAACAGAGAAATACTGGGAAATCTCTGTAGACTGATGACATTTCATGCTGTTCTGCCTTAAAATCTTAAAATGTGAGCAAAATCACCTTTTTTTTTCATCACTTTAGCTCTAAAGTGATGTGTGTGAATGAGCAACAGTTTCTGCTGTTCTGACATCAGCTGCAGATGTGAATATCTTTCATATAAATGTGTTTTTTAAGGCTCTCTGTGATTTTTTTTTTATTGTCAATGGTGGGCGAGCTGTTTTGAGCCAATGCACGCCTCCCACCAGTGCCTATAAACAGTCATGTGATATATATATATATATATATATATATATATATATATATATATATATATATATATATATATATATATATATATATATATATATATATATATATATATATATATATATACATATGCATTTGTAATTAAAATGGCTGAAAAAATACACATAATACCTAAGGTACCATTTTTGCCATTTATTTTTAATAAATTTGCTACAATTAAAAAAAAATCTTTTTTTCATATCATCATTATGGGGTATTTTGTGTAGGATTCTGAGGAAATAAATTAATTTAATCCATTTTGAAATAAGGCTGTAGCAAAAAAAATGTGGAAAAAGTGAAGCGCTATGCATACTTTGTGGATGCACTAAATATATTTAGTTACATATATAAGTGGACATTTTCGCTAATATTTTTGAATAAATGTTGCATATTTAACACTGAATATCAACACTGAATATATGCATATATTTCCATACATCAGATTTCTATGTGTGGCTATAATTTGACATCACAAACTTTACCTTAAACAGTTTGGAAGGAATAATAAAAAAAAAAAAGATTGAAATAACTTGAGCCTCTTCAGGTTTTTTTTCTTTCTTTAATATCAATTTTTTAAGGAAAAAATCTAAAGTTGAAACAATAAATAATTTTTTTTAATCTTCTTGGCTCATTTTTACAAAGGGTGCACATCAAAACACAGTCAAACCAAAACTTTTCACATGAGGGAGTAGGACAGTTCGTGTTAAAAAGACATCTATTAAACACCCAAAAATAGACGTCTTGACTAAAAGAAGGCTAAATTTTCACTGTCTACAGTATAAATATCTTCTAGAGATTTATCAATAGTCCCAAAGCAGACAGGAATGAATACGTGTTGTGAAGTCAGTCTGTGAGACCTCTATAAAATTTTACTGACAGCACAAGTCTAGCTTTGTTTTAGCCATGTTTGACACATCTAATAGACATCTTTTAGACACATTGTAATGTAAACGAGGATACCTAAATAAAATAAACTATGCCATATTAAAATCCATCATACATTTATACTGTATGAAAGTCTGAAAATACAGAAATTCAGCTTTAAAGAATACACTGAGGACAAACAAATCACTGATAGTTGTGTAAATATTGTCATACTAACAGCTGTCTGTATTATTTTTGGATGGATGTAATCAATTACATACTGTAGCATTCTATCAAAGTTATCTGACATCATTAAAATGCATTTTGAAGAACTGAATGAATCCTTTATTAAAGGGATAGTTCACCCCAAAATGAAAATGTACTCATTATTTACTCTCTCACAAATGGTTCCAAACCTTTATGAGTTTTTATGTTCTGTTGAATGAGAAAGAAGACAATTTGAAGCATGCTGGAAACCTGTAACCATTGACTAACATAGTATTTATTCACCCTACTGTGGAAGTCAATGGTTACAGGTTTCTATCATCCTTCACAATATTTTGTGTTCAACTCCACCATCTGAGTGGGAGTAAATAATGAGTAATTATTATTTTGGGGGGGTGAACTATCCCTTTAGGAATATTTTAGTTAGACTTTAACATCTTTTTTTTTTTTTAGGGAAGGTGTGGGGAAGATCTCGGCTTTTGTGATGAAGATGGCTCTGGCTACTCTTTGTGGAGGGAAGATTTTGGACAAACTAAGATGTAAGTTTCACTTTGGATTTGCCTTTGAACTGATGAGCGCTCAATGGTTTGATGCTGATTAATGGACGCATAAGTGAATGGACTGGATTAATCATTCTATCATCATCATTTTAAAGGTCAGAGCAGCTGTCGTTACTTGAAAGTCACTTCTTAGCAAGCATTACACTCGCCTCTCATGACCTTGTCAGTGTGGGGAAAACTTTTCGATTCATTCTTAGCGATGAAACTTTAGTTGGGGGTTGAGAAGATTTTGAATTTGCTGTTCGAATGGTCTTTCGCATATCGAGACTTCATTTATTTGATGAAAACATACAGTAAAGCAGTGTTTCTCAACCATGTTCCCGGAGGACCACCAACACTGCATGTTTTGGATGTCTCCTTTGTCTGTTACAACCATTACAGTACAGATCTTTCAGTCTCTGCTAATGAGCTGATGATCTGATTGAGGTGTGTTTGGTTAAGGAGTATTTTTTATGTATTAATATGTATTTTTATTCTTTATTCTTCTGATTTAATACAGTTTTCAGTTATATATTCAGTATGTGGATAAGTAGAGGAAATACTGAACATGTCCCGACATTAAACATTGTATACAAGGCTGTACACCCGACTCCTGCTTATTAGTTTTTTATTTACCTTGATCTTACAAAATAATTCCTAATGCTTGTCTTTTCTCTCCCCTCAAGACATATTTTCACAGATTTCAGACCCAAACGGGCTGATGATTTACTCACAGTTCGACCAGTTCCTCAGAGAAGTGCTGAAAGTGCCGGTGTCGGTGTTTGAGGGTCCGTCGTTTGGATACACTGAGCAGTCCACAAGATCCTGCTTTCCACAAGAGGTCTGTGAAGAGTTTCAATGTGGTTTCATGCAGAAAGCTTTTTGTCATGTCCTGGTATATTGCTTAAAATATTGCTTAAAAGGATAGTTCAGCCAAAAACGAAAGCTCTGTCATCATTTACTGACCCTTCACATGTTTTTAACATATTTGAGTCCTGATGGACAGAAAAGAAGATACTTTGAAAAAAGCTGGCAGCCATTGAATTCTATAGTATAGTATAGTATAGTATAGTATAGTATAGTATAGT